TGCTTAAGAAAACAAACTTGGTTGAAGTGGCCGTTGTCCTTAAATATATACAATAAGATTGTAGCAATAACAGAACTAGAAAACTATATTATTAATATTCTGATTTTTTAACCAACATTCCTTTTTGAGCTCGATCTTACAAATAACTCTACGCAAAATAATATAAAAACTCTAAATCAGTGAATTTCAATAAAAGTAGGCCCAAATTCAATACTTTTACAATGTTTCGGGTGAAATCCAGGATCTGGATGGTAATATGTAGGAGAAATTTTCACAAAACTTTGCATGTAAATGACTAAGTATAAAGCGTATGAAATGGTTAAAATATCCTCATACATTTCATTATATCTGGTGCATAATTTCAATCGGTGTGCAAACTGTTAAGATCTAGGGATCTAGGTTGAAAATGAAAATAGAAATTGATTACACAAAGTCGGTACAGTCTTAAATATTTGTTTCTGTTATATCATTATGATTCCCTTTAAAGAGAAGTAAGAAAAAAAATTCCAAACAAATTCAATAACAGCAGATGTAGAACAACCATCGTTTCCTATCGTTAATTAAAGTTTCGTGGATCTTGATTGCAACCAGTAGGAGGAGTTAATTACACAAAATAGGCCTAAAACAAGATATTTCTGTTTGCCCATACCTTAGTTTATCGGCATTAATACGGATGTTCTCACGTCGAAGGCATCTGCATTCTAGGTCGTTTTCTTCCCATTCATAAATTCTATATGATGACAGCTCTTCATTTAATCCTTTTGGAAGTCGAACTAACTTCTTCATTGTTTGATATCTAGTATCAACGGCTACTATATTCTACAATGGCAAATAAAAAAAAAATCAATTTTATCAGTCTATAATATTAATGAGAACAGATGTTGAAGGCAGTGTGGTATTACTGGTGACCTTTTATACAACATGTTTACTATACAGACGGGATCGAGTGGTATTCATTGTACTGAAAAAAGTTTCTATGTTTACCTTATTTTCAAAGATAGTTTTGAGTTCTTTTTCTTTCTCAAGCAGAACATTGTAAATTTCCTCAGCTCTCTGTCGTTCATTTTCATTTTGAAAGTTCTTGACGTCACAAACAAAGTTCGCAAGATTGCGTCTTTCCATCAGTGATCGTGGTGCCTGGAAATACATGTACATCTTTATAATATAACAGTGACTAAATATTCAATGGACGTAGAAAATTGACGAGGATGCAAATGCCAGTGCATGTTAGCTTTTAGCTTTAATATACACATATCAGCAGAAAGATTAAAAAAATGGAGGACGGATAATATGCAAAACAATATTTATTTAGTATACTGTGGGAAAATGCAAAGTAATATACGAACATTACTTCAGTAATTATATTCAATATAATGATATTTTATGCGACTGTCATACAGGTGAGAGGTTTAGCTAGCTATTAAACCAGGTTTAATCCACCATTTTCTACATAAGAAAATGCCTGTACCAAGTCAGGAATATAAGAGTTGTTTTTCATTCGATTGATGTGTTTGAGTTTTTGATTTTGCCATTTGATTAGGGACTTTCCGATTTGAATTTTCCTTGGAGTTCGGTATTTTTGTTATTTTACTTTTTGATAAAAACATTCATAATTTCCTTCAGCATTCCTTTGTAATATATTGGATATTCTTGTTCATACTATATTTCTATAATTGTCCTTGTAATATCTGCTATCGTGTTTCGTGGTTTTTTTTTACCACGTAATATAAACAAAGGTTCACCAACCCAACGTCACAAAATACATATAGATCTCGACATAGGTCCTAAAAGTGTACTTTGTGTCAATTTTGTTAATCTCAGGAATAATACGTTTATTTACAGTATGTTTTAATAGTATATCGGTTTTTGGTGCATTATGTACAAAAGTCGGTTAACCATCCTCTAACCATTCAGAATGATATTATTTATATTGGCCGAAGTATGCTACGGTAGATTTCCAAAACCAAAGACAAAAATCTTTCTCTCGATTGCATCTTATATGCTAAAAATATCCAGCATATCATCTTCACAGCTGTCATTCGGTATATCAAGAAAGATTATCTTGAAACAATAAGTAACGGTGGTCGAGTATTGAGATTTGATCGTGCAAGATCTGGTATCGGATTGTGAAGGAAATCGTATCGAGAAGACACATGCAAGGTCAATAGATAATCTTATTTGATGAATTATAAGGACAAATTTGAAATTAAATCAAACTGTCTGTCAAAATGGTTCAACATTATGACCAGTATGTTAGATAATCGGAGTTTAAAATATTAACGTTTTTACAACTTTACAAAAGGCACATAGCTCTTCAAAACACTTCAATGACATTAAAAGTGTAAACAAACATGATTTTTTTTCATCATATGAAATGACTAAATTATTGTTTTCTGAACAATGTCGTTCTATATTAATGTTTCAAGTGGCCCTCAAAATTATTTTGAGTAGCTTAGACAGAAAGTGGGTGATCGTGAAAGATCGGTATCACTTTTTTGAGATCGTGAAAAAGGTCGTGAAAGATCCGATGTCATTTATTAGTCATCGCACAAATTATTGAAAGTGTTCAAATCATTTTGTAATTTTATGAAAATTTTCAAATGTAATCTTCAGATGCAAAAGACCAGACATCCGTTACTTTTTCTGGTTAGGGAATAATCTGTTAGGCTATGATGGTTCAATGCAATTTGGTCAGGGCTTTTTAATAAGACCGTGCCGACTAGTCCGTGGTGTCCTAATTCAATTACGTTATTATGAGTCAAGAATGCCTCATCGGATATCAATACTTTTTATATCTATATCAAAAAGATAAGACGAAGATCCATGTCGATTTTTTTTTTATCAAAACAAGGGGCATTTTGTCAAAAGTCATACTTTATGGTTAAAAAAACTATCTTCATAAGCTAGAAATTCAATAGAAAATGATAATTGGGAAGTTCCAGTGATTTCAAAAATTAGTTTTTCTTAAAAAAAAATAAAAGATGATTTTATTCTTGATGTCCTGGGATTTGAACAACAATTTATTTCATATCGGTTAAGAATTAGCTTCTCTTATTGGATAACAAGGGGCCACATGACATTCTTTATTCTTTAGTAAAACATTCCATCGGTCGTTAACAGAAAAATACGGATTAGAAAACCGGACGTTAACGGACTTTTGCATGTTAATGACCAGTGGGGCGTGGTTTCTCTGTTTAGAGTGATGTCTCTTTAATAAAACGCAATCGCGATTCAGACGTTTGGAACATGGCTGAACTGGAAAGCACGTTTGCTACAGACAACTCAAATGATCGTTTTGTCGTACTTTCCGATGCTGATAGAGACAAACTACTCAGCAACAAGAATTATAAAATTATAGAAAACTTTATTTTGTATTCATATTCTGAAAAATTGCACTTAGATGAATGGCAGTGACTTATAGTTATCACTATGACTGGTATTCACTGTATACAATAACTCGAGTTTGCTTTGAACAATTTGAATTTATGAGAATTTTTAAAAACATGATTCCTCAATGAAATAAACATGATAGTTATCGAAGAACTGGTTATTATCGTGATACATAGACTGCCCGTAGTACAGTGGTATTGACTGCGACAGCGATAATGACCTCGCCTACGGCTCAGTCATTATCGCTGCCTTAGTCAATACCACTGTCCTGTGGGCAGTCCATATATCACGATAATGACCAGTTTTTTAATAACTGATATATAGTTATATTTATGTATATCATGGAAGTCTAGAATGATTCCAAGAGTCAAATTTTAGATTAAAAAAAAAAACTAAAAATTTGAAGAAAATCCGACCAAAATATCATTAGACTGCCATTTTCGAAATGACCGTAAGAATATATGAACAATTTCATAGAAGAAATTTTATTTAAGAATTGATTGCTTCATTTAATAATTTTATTCTGGTGATAAGTGTTGACTGAAGCACATTTCGTATAAAGCGCGAAAACGCTTCATATAAAAAATGTGCGCACGATTAACACCTTTACAACCCTATAACATTTTAAAAATAAGCATTCAATTGTTATAGTTACATTTTTATGCTACAACCATGAAATTAATGCCTAGTTCGCACCTACATTTAATTCGAATTGAATTCGAATCGAATGCGAATCGAATTCGCTAATCGCGCTCACACTCTTCTTTTTTAATTCGAATTGATTCGAATTCGCTAATTCGCATTAACCAATTCGCATTAGAAAATCCGTTTTTGTTGATACGAATTAAAACTTAACGTCGTTCGGACAGTAAAGCAAATTTGACGCGTATTGCAATTCGAATTAGCATTAACGTTTGGACGTAAAACGATTCGAATGCGAATTAAACTAATTCGAATTAGTTAATGCGAATCGAATTCGAATTACGTGTGAACGCAGCATTAGAGTTATATCAAGCTTTACGTTTGTTTTTCAATGCATTAAATTAATGTTGTCACCATAGCACGTGCAGCCATAGCTGTTGTATTTTTATATAGAATTGAAATATGATATTGGAGTGCCTTTTGATTGTTGTTATATAGTCAATCAAAATTACGGATTCTAATGAAACAAAAATGTAAATGTAAATAGATATAGATAGAAAATAATTTATCCCGAAATAATTGTATCTAAAATTTGTTGTGTTAAACGTTTCAATGTCATGCAATGTCTAACATTGACTTAGAGTTGGAAAGTGTTAGTTGTTAGTAGAGACAAATTTAGTTTCATCAAAGTAATGCATTTTTTCTTTACCTTAGTGCACAGTATTATTAAGTAAGATGAACTATTTTGATAGACATATTTCTTTTTTCTGATTTTTCTCGCCTGTTGATAATACAATGGATATTTTCACAGATTTTGCGATTGAATTGTTTTCACGATCCGATACAGATATTTCACTATCCGATAGCAATGCTTGACCACCGTTAGTAATTCTTTCGCGATCTTTATGCTCGATATACAGAATGCTCGTCGTGCTCTTATTCAGATGAAAAAAAGACATCGAAAATACTTCACCACCGACTTCGTCTTCACTAATTCTTCCTCATCCAGTAGATCAACTTCAGGTTTTCCATCATCCCTTAATCTTGAGAAATAAAAATAAAAAAAGTGATAATAAACATAAAAGACAATTTCAAGTAATTACACCTATCTGAAATCGAAAATAGAGATAGATCAACGCTAGTCTCGTTTTTCGTTTTTTATATGGATTAAACCGTTTGTTTTCCGGTTTGAATTGTTTTACAATAGTCATTTTGGGGCCCTTTATAGCTTGCTGTTCGGTGTGAGCTAAGGCTCCGTGTTGAAGATTATATATGGAAACGAAAGAAAAACAAGAAGCTAATCAATAATACAATATTTTTATTGGTTTGAGGAAGAGGCGTGTAGTTTGTCCCTAAAACCAATGAAACATACGACGATATGAGGGTTTATTGCAAGTTTTGGACAATTCAAGTGAAATACTGTGCTAATAAAGTAGGTGCACAACAGCATTGTGAGACTAGCAATACTATTTTTAAATATTTGAGTTCATTTGTGTCTACATTTGATTTTATATACAAAATAATGTTTTCAATGAATGAAATGTTTGAACCTGATGCGTAAATGGAATTTACAAGTTATGATGAAAAATCAAAGTTTCCAAAAAGTTTTATGGTAAATGATATCCGTTTATTTGATGTCGTTCATAGCTTCGGATATTGCGAGATTTTCCCGTCGATCTGTTTAAATGAATAGTATAATAGGTATAATCTTACACTTTATTGGCCGCCTGGATAATTGCTTTTATAACGTCCTTGTAGAAGGCAGTTTGATTTAGCTCTTTACAACTGTATGGATTTAGTTCCTTCAAACCATCATCAAGTTCATCATATTCTAATTTCAAAGCCTTGTACCCGTTCAAAAATGTTACCCCATGTTCCTCAGCTAACATTTTCTCTAAACTCGAATATATGGCGGTTGAAGATTTCAATATTCGTTCTTTATTTTCCACCGCATCCTGCATTTCTTGTTTCTCGAAATTCTCAAAATCATTGACTTCTGAAATTTTTATGGCCTTTTTCTCGTCAAGTACCTTTTGGACATGCATAACCGCTGATTCTATTTGTGATCGAAGTTGCGTTGCATCTTCACCAACTTCTCTCAATGGCAAAGAACGAATTTTGTCAATAGAGCTTGTAAGACTTTGCAGTTTTATTTTCATTTCTGGAATTTGTTGCTTGACAGAATTTCGAAAGTCTTCCACGACAGTCTCTATTTCAGAAAAGTCATGACCCTTATGTTTTGTAGCCACGCATTTACTACAGATCAAGATTGTGCACGTTGTACAATAAAGAGAAAATTCTTGCTTATGAGTGGTACAACTAGAAACAGAGCTGAACATAGATCGATCTACACGTTTTAAGTCTGTAATAGAATGGTTTTTAGTCGCCGGAATTTTATCATGAGTATTTCGGCAAGGTCCACACAATGCTGACTTACATTCGTAGCAGAAATACGTGCCATTAGTTGTATTACACAAATTACATTTGGTTGTCGATGTCTGCGCCATTGTTTTAGCAGGATGTTTATTTTAGTTTACATGTTATATCAATACATGATCAATGCCAGTAATTTTTCAAGGAACTACATAGAGATACGATCCAATGGAAAAAAGCATAGAAAGATTCAAACTTCAGATTAACTTTCATTTTCCGGTGATCAAAGTGTTGATTTCCTTTAGAAATGTGTACAAATAAGTTATTTTTAGTTTTCAAGCTGAATATCTTCCTTCAAATAAATTAGGGTTAATAAAGGCAACAGTAGTATACCGCTGTTCAAAAGTCATAAATCGATTGAGAGAAAACACACTAAAACTAAAAACATTTTTCCATATAATGAAAGAAACCAGATATGAACTCAAAGTTTCAAAGTGTTACTTTGTGATTTTTAATCATATGAAAAATATGTCATAACAGAAAAAAGCAAAATTATAAAAAAAATTATAAGTGAATGACTTGAGCGACAATTCAAACTTCTATGGGTTCAATATAAGTTTCATTCTGATGTTTTGTTAGATTTAGAGTTCAAACTTATGATGCCTTTTGGATTAACAATATATATTGTTATACCCTCCGCTACAAGGTAGCGGGGAATATAGTTTTTGGCCCGTCCGTCGGTCGGTCATTCCGTCAGTCATTTTCGTTTTCAGATGCGAACTCAAATACTTAATATTGGATTACAACCTTACTTGGATATATGGTCACATTTAATATTAAGAAGATCGTTATTGACTCTGTGATCTCGACCTTAAGGTAAAGTCTTAAGAACTAAAAAAAGACTGAAGTTTGTGGTGTATGGATGCTAAAACAACATATAATGGGAGAAAAATCCCTATTTATTTTGAGGTCAATTCCTCAAAAGTCAAAGTTAATAAAAATAGATGGAAACTTGTGCAGAAAAGGGGATTCCTGATGCTAAATTAAATTCTGACTACTGGATTGCAAACTTGCTTGGATATACGATCACATATAATCAGAGGAAAATCATTTTCAATTTGCATGTAACCTTGTCTCAGGTTAAGGTCAAAGTTACTATTAAAAAAATGTAAATTTTGCATAAAAGTAGTTTCAGGATGTATTATGTTGGAATGCTACCTTACTTGGCTATGTGTTCACATATAATAAAAGGAAAATCCCTATTGATTTGTTTTAAATCATAATTTATAAGGGGTCGAGGGATAGGTGAGCTTGACTACTAAGGTTTTTTTTTTCCTTTATTTTTTTTTTTCGATGGGGAAGTTAATGTTGAAATCTTTCATTCTTTTATGATATCATTAGCAATATAATATCTCACCTGTATCAAGGGTACATGTAAATGTAAAAACTATACATAATCTTTTTGAAGTGTACTGAAATTATTGTGCAGAAACTTATGAATTAGTTGTTGTTTGCTCCTGAATCCGCAGTTTCGGTGGAGGCGTAAAATTGTCTCTTCTGTAGTCACTGGACTTTAAAAATATCTTGCTTTGTCTTCCTATGGTACTGTTGGAAAATTGAATTGACTGGTATAATGGGTCGTAGAACTATTAGATGGCTGGATTGCCGAATGATTAACTTCCATTGGCAAGTATTACATGCATTTCAGAACGAAATCATCTAACCTTGATTAGTTAGTCACACAAAGCTGGATTTTCCACGTTGAAGTTTACATGGCAACATTCTGCTCTACTCTTTCATATTGTATCAACTGGGAGATGTATATGTATATATACTTTTTTTCCATATGCAGTTGTTGTTGGAATGTTGCTATATAGAAATGAATAGTTCGCAATTTGGAAGCTGTAATAATCACTCTCGTCGTAAAGGTTTATTCTTAAACGACATTCAGTGCCAATTTACAGATGAAAGTTAAGATATAAGGCAGACGTAAACGTATCAGTGGTATCCTGTTATTGCGAACCAAATGAAAGTTTTCCACAGAGTCGTCTGCTCCTGACCAGGGTATTTAAACTTTTGTCTTTTCTCTTGTCCTATTGAATAAATACAAAAGCTATTGTTCTCTGTGTAGTTTTTTCACTGGGACCTTTAAATTTCTTCTAGGAGAAATCTATCACTCATTGATTAATTTACCTGACCAAAAATTATCTTCTTTTTTGGGGGAAATAGTTGTATAAACTCGCATAAACTGCATACAATATTGTATTTAATCAATATCAATAATATATTTTCAATCTGTTCAATATAAACACAAATTTAATTATAAAAAGTTTATTTCTGACAAAATTTTTAGTATTGTTCCAATGAATTTGCATGTTTTTGTTGTTGTTCAGTTATAGAATACATTTATCAAGACCTTAATTTAAACACAATAATTTTCAAGTTTTTATTTGTCAAAAACACATAAAAAAACAAATTTTAATAGGGAAAATATAAAAAAATTTGTTCAGAAATCAACTTTAATTTTTGAATCAGTGTTTATATTGAAACTATTAAAAATGGATTATTGATATTTAATAAATACAACACCACATGGAGTTTTTTGAGTCCTTATTTAGTATTACATTTATTTTCATTATTGACAGTTCAATTTTTTGTTCAGGTAAATTAATCAGTGAGTGATAGATTTCTCTTGAAAGAAATTTAAAGGTCCCATCAAATAAACTACACAGAGAACAATAGCTATTGTATTTATTGGATGGGACAAAAGAACTTACAAAAGTTTAAATCGACAGGTAACTTGCAGGCGAATCTGTGGAAAAGTATCATAATCATTGGGTTCGCAATAATAATTTCCGATGGTAAAGATGAATTCAACATAGTCACCAAGCTTTAATTTATTTTTATAAATTACCTCATACTTAAAACGGATCTTAAAGATGAGGGCAAATGCTAGCTTGTTTTAAAAAAAATTTAAAAAGTTGGTGTGAAAAATTTAAATATAAAAGTAAGATAATCTCTTTAGAGCCTTTGAATGAACTACATTAAGCAATCAATACTTATGAGACCTACATAGTCAAATAACACAAGGACAATAACATGAATAAACATACACAAACATAAAAAAGTGTACATGTGTAATGAAATAAGATAGTGTAATAATGCAGTAGGCAGATATTAATATCAGGCAACATGTTATCACAAACAAAACAACGTCAATTCAGTTCTAATCCGTCGTCAAAATTATGTAAAATGATTTTTAATAACAATAAGTTTTAGTTTTTTTGGGGACGGTTAACCGCCCACATAAACCTGTGTAATCCTGCCATATGCGTTAAGCGTCGCTTGTAATTCAGAATCATGCAGTCTAGTTGTTCTTTGTTGTTTACCTCAATTGTTTTTAATTCTTTTTCACACGAATCAGGCCAACGGTTTTCAAGATTGAATTGTTTTCTATTTTGACATCTGGATACTTTTCATGGATTTACAATACAAGTCAGGAACCTGTTGTTCAATTGTTGTCGTTTGTTGGTGTGATTTATAAGTGTTTCTAGTTTCTCGTTTTTAATATAGATTAGACCGATGGTTTTCATGTTTGAATTGTTTTACACTTCTCATTTTGAGGCCCTTTATAGCTTGCTGTTCGGTGTGAGCCAAGGCTCCGTGTTGAAGGCCGTACTTTGACCTATAAATGTTAACTTTTTATACATTGTGACTTGGATGGAGAGTTGTCTCATTGGCACTCATACCACATCTTCTTATTTATATTTGCTAATTGTTGAAGGTCATGCTGTGACCTGTATACGTAGTTGTTTACATCCTTGGACTTTTCATCGTAGTTCTCTCCCTTGTTATCCAACTACATTTCATGGTAGTTCTCTCACTTGTAATCCAACTACATTTCATCGTAGTTCTCTCACTTGTAATCCAACTACATTTCTTCATTTCTATATTAGGTTGGACTTAAGGATGTTCGCTCCTTTTGTTTTAGATTTTTTGCCAGATATTCGGAATCCTCTGGTTTTATCCATGTTGTGCCATTAAAAATTTTACCCACTAACCCATATTTTTCTTTTCATAATTTTATAACATATAGTTTGAAAAGCCATACTTGAAAATCTTATAGTATCCTTGTTGTTTTTTCATTGTTTTTTAAAGAAAAAAGGTGCCAATGTTAAATATATGAAAAATCTAGAGAGAATCATTTCCCGCCAAATTTTCAATGGCTTATTTCCCGAAAACAAGCACACGAACCCTTCATTTTTTCTGCTTTTTTAGTTCCTTCATTTATATACTATCAATTTATAACAGTCTTTTAAAAAGCTTGTTATTTTGAAACAGAGTAGCGAACATCCTTAATATAAGAATATTGAGCTCTCGATTGACTTGAATGAGATAAGGTGTCAAAAGCTTTAAATTTCAATTTCTGTTAGTTACAGAGTAAAGATTAAATTGATTTAGTTTGAATTTTCCAGTAAGTAGACAGTATGGAAGTTCGAAATTTAGCTTTACATCTTTTTTCATTAAAACTAAGTTTACCCACGCTAATTTGATATTAATGTATATCATGCATATAGTATATTAATAGCAGTTGTTTGTAACCACTAACCAAGTTACGGCACGCATAGTCTCAGATTTTCTTGAAATTTTGTTTGTTGGTAGCTATCGATAAACATATCAGAAATATGGTGACAAAAAATTATTCTATATCCTTGACGTGGTAATGGGTCCCTTGGATTTTTGCCCAAAATTGCATATTTTGACGTAGAAAAATTAGCAACTTCAAGCAGTTATCATGCACACATTTCAATGTTCATGAACATTTTAATATTTGTTCATTAAAATATAACATTCATTTAATAAGATAAAAGATAAATATTTATTCTAATAAAAAGGGGGGATGGTGATGACTGTTTAACAGAAGAGAGTTTTCATTGTATTCAAGACGGCCAATTATAGGCATTTTGCATGAACTTACTGCAAATTTTTTTGCATCCGCACCTATTATTCTTGAGGTTATCAATGAAAACTTTCACTCTTGCCTAGTGATAATTTATAACAAAACGTTTGGGATTCAGGTTGCTAGTGTGGCTGCTATGGGAACCTAAACATCCCATTTTTTGTTATTTTGTAA